TAAATAAATAAATAAATAAATAAATAAATAAAAATTGTTAATTTCGACAATAATCGATTTGACATTTTATTTGTTACATCAAACTTGAATACATACTAAATGCTACATTAACACGTTTATGTTCATGTGTAACAACAAGAATACTAACCGTTCGTAAAATAGACAATACGGATGACTCGAGTATACCATGTTCAGTTATGTATATCACTAAAGCTGCTTTATAATGGATCGTGTATAAAACAAATTGGAAGTATATCAAGCAAGTATTATTTTATACGCATCTAAGACGTAAATGTGAATTCATATGCGGAATGAGAACGAAGTCTGAAGGTGCAAAATGTGTTTTTATGTGGCATCCGCTTTATTAGACCTGGAGGACAAGGGGAAGTGTATTTCGGGACGAAAAATTGCTAGACCAAATCCTTGGGTCGATTTCTAGGTGCTGACTCATAAAATGCATGTCATATAGTGTCGGTTCAGTCTAAAGTCCCGTTTTCGTCAAATTATTTTTAAATTAATTCCCTTATAGCAGAGATGCAGGTTCGTAGGCACTTGGGAGTGATTTTTTTTTTGCTTTTTATTATCCAAACAATCTTGGCTATAGACTGTTAAAATTTTGTAGAATTGTGAATAGTGGAACATTCTCAAAAGACAATTTTAAAATATAGATAACAGGTGCAAATATTCTCTCTTTTGAATGCTTAGCAAGATTTAGCAAGGCTGCACATAAATAAAAAAACATGGTGCAAAAAAGAAACGACGGGATCTCCATATTATGCACTATATTTAACTTTTTACAAAACGATAATACATTTAAATTTGGAACTGTTACAGCCCATTTAATTAGCATTAGCAAACTTCTTACTGAGTGAATTGTTATGCAAATTAGCAATTATCTCAGCATCTTTTTAGTGCTCCTAGACGCTTTGACCTTTTGTTTTGAAATTTTCACAAATGATTGACAATGTGTTTATCTTCAAAACGCCGTCGGAGCATTGTTTTTGGTTGAACAGTGTTACAACAATTGTACAGACAATTAGCCTAGGTGTTAATTTATGCATAAACTTGAAGTAGTGAAATTTGAGCTGCTGCCCTGCAAAATTGACAACTGGTAGTTTTCAAGACGGCACTTTTTTTTATAGTAAACAGATGTACCCGTAAACAAATTTTGTCAGGAAACAGAAGCATGGTTTAGAAGCTATTTTTTTTTAAATCACTATTGACTAAAAAAGCACATTTCTTGTGCATATTTCAAACTACAGCGTCCATAAAAAAATACTAACAACATTTTAAAATTCATACAATAAGCTTTCTGAAAATATATAGTTTTGTGGACAAGGGAGGTCATCTTGTTTTCCTAATTAACTAATTAAAATACCTGTCAGGTAAACTGCATCTCTACCTTAAGAAAGGAAGGGGTGTCGTATAATGTCGAATTGTGCCAGAACAACGTTTCCTAATTAATTTAAATAAGGTATGTTATAAAAGCGTTCAACTAAAAACCACCTCGTTTCGGCCAAACTATTATAAAAATAACCATTAGGGGTGAAGTGACATCCAGGAGGGGAAATTTAGATGTTGATTTTAAATATGAGTATTATACAGACGTTCCGGAGAGTGTTTGCGAAAACGGGGAACAACTTATTGACCATCTTAAAAACATTAAACTATGATCGTCAGACATGAGAAATAGAGCATTGATCTTTAGTGTTGTGGGCGGGCATTAGCTCCAGGTCAGTATGCGCATGCGTATTCTCAGAGGAATGCGATGAAATCATTGAGACAGCCAATCAGCTATGACACAGGATTTTCTGCTGACTGCGTAGTTGCATAGCAGGTCATTCTTGAATGCCTCGATCTAAGCAAAATGAAACATACAAAATTATGCAAATCCACATGCGCCAAAGATATTTATCATTATTTCTGTAGGTGCCTTCAGCGTAATGAAACGGCTTTGCATTCGTAAACAGGCAAACGCCAAATATGAAACCATGAAATACCCATCGGAATTGATGTTCGCACTTGTGGATGCGGCAGTGATATCCCAGAATGATCTGGAATATCTGTCAAAAATACTGAAAGTAGCGAAGCAAACAAAACTTGCAGATCGAGTGAAGGAGTATGAAAACCGCCATAACCGCAAACAAGATACAACAGGTATGGATAGCAACTGCGATACTGCGTCTACAAATGGATTGAAATATAGTTTTATGTTCATATCACCGGTTGTCTATATCTTCTATCTGGTTATAAAAAAAAATATGACTGTGATCTCTATCGTATCTAATGCTCAGTGTTGTTTATAACAATTGATCCCGAGTTCCGTCAAAATCCTAATTTTGTATGCAGCTGTATATGGATTATATTGTATATCATTGGGCTAATTTTCCTCTTCCCTCAGTGCGAAGAAAGCGAAAGGCTTCAGACTCAGATATATCATACAAACGTCAGTGTTTTGGTAAGTGACTCACGTAAAATTAAACGCATGTAATTTATTATTTTGCATACTATTTAGTCGTATAAGACGACTTCACTTCTGAACAAAAAAAGGTGTGAATAATTTCAATATCAATTTCTTGTCAGGTAATTTGTGAACCTAATTCTTTATAAAATTATTACGAGTTTAACGTTAGTAACATATGATGTGTTTTAGACTTTCCTGTACCGATCAAATTGGAGGAGGGTTTCGTTTAAAGATCGCGCATTATACTGGGCAGCCATGGAAGTATTCACGAGATCAATGGTTCAAATACAAAGCAATGATGCTGCAGTTGATGTGAAAGCCAGACAGATGAACGAGGCTTTCGAAAAACTGGGCGTCAATCTGACCGGGGTGAAAATCTCTTCTGTTATACTGCTCGCACGTTGTTGGAGTATGAATGGATTGATGAGTTTCAAAGATGGTTTGAAGTCTAGAAAACTGGTTGTGTTATTAACGGATATTTTGATAACAGACGAGTTGAAAGACTTAGTTAAAGGCACTGGTATCACACTACGAATATCAGCTGATGTAGATCCAATACATCTTGAAAGAGCTGAGAAATATTTCGAAGGTAAACTAGTCACACTATTCACCAATTCAAACATTTTACAAACAAACTTCTGTACCACGAGCGACCATGGCACGTATTTGGTTTTTTAAACGTTCTATATAAACAAATCGACAAATAGAAATTTGTATGCTGAAATTTTTCTTTTCTCTGATTGCCATTGAATGTAATGACTCCAACCTGTCTCCCTGAATACCGATCTCTCAAAATATAGTAGTACAATGAACGAACTGCTGTGATCTTGGGAATCTTCAACAACATATCAACCTAACCAGTATTGTATCGTTTCTTGTTTTTCAGATACTGCTATTGAAACAGAGCTTTTCAAGTATGATAAAATGGATGTTGTGCATCGCTCATCGCCCACCTTGATGTCAGTTAACTACCTTAATTTATTCACAATGGCATACCAACCTAACCGGAAATTAAACTCCTTGCGTAAGTCAGTACGTTTAATACAGATAGCGAGAAAAGAAAGTTTTAAAACCAAAGAAGTGATCAGATCACTCGAAGTGCGAGTGCGTGAAAAGGATCGGGTTATAAACGAGAAACAGAAACGGCTAACGGCATTGGTTGAAGAACATTGCGATTTGCCACCACAGAAGTCTCTCGGCGCCAGTGGTATTGAAAAAGACACATTGAACTCTGAAGTACGCGAATTACATGAATTGCTAACAGACGAGACTAGCCAAATTGTAGCGATGAATGAAACAGTCAGAGAGAAGGACGCGGTCATAGACTCATTGACGTCAGAATTACAAATTGAGAAATTGAAATTTCCAGTAGTGTCAGTGAGATTGAGATTGGAGGTAAGAAATGTACGTGGCATGAATATATATACAATTGTTATTTTAAATATGTCTCACCAAACAATGCCGAATACTGTATCACATTAAATTGCCGAATACTTTGTTGTGAAAAAAAAAATTGTTTATTTTCAGCGTACTGAACAAGACGGAAACTTTAAACGAAGTACGTAATTAAAATATATGATTTTTTATAGTAAAATATTTAATGTAAACTCGGTTATAAATATACATACATCATAATCAAATGTCAATATAATAGAAACTTAAACATACTTTCGATTATTATTTCATCTATATTCTTTTGCGAAAAGACAATTCTTGAAGCAAATCTCTGTTTAACCCTTTGCACCTCCTCATCATATTTTTTCTGTGTTGGGTTGGGTCACATGCCACGGTTATTTACACAACTGTATCAACTTCCTGTTCATCAGTATTTTACATTAACCTTTTGTTATGACCTTTGAACTTATCATGCTTTGCCATGGAATTGATAGAGATTTTTTTAAAAAAAATTTCAGGGGATTTCTCAAGCAGATTCAAATTTCGAAATGAATCGGAATTTCCCAAACCAGAGAAGTTTATACCATCTATTAAGAAATATCCAAGCAGATCAAAGAAACAATGTAAGTTTATATAATTGTAACCTTTCAGATTCTGCACAAAATACCAAGTAATGCGCTGCCTTATAATGCAAGAACAATGTCCCTCGATGTCTGAAAAACCAGAAATTTAACTCAGACATGTTTAAATTTTGTTAAGATATATAAACGTGTGGCTATTACAAATGAACAGAGTGAGTTACATCATATATTACGGCTGCTGAGTTTTAATAACTCAGATGAGATATGCGCGACTGATTTGACGTCCGGACTACATTCACGTGCATTTTGCTACGAACATGAACTACTAGTATTTGTTTCATATTTTTTATTCACATAGATAAAAAGTTTATACAAAGAAAGCTGCAAGAGAAATTATACATGAACACAAGAAAGACGTATAACATGGAGGCTGATTAAAATAAATGGCAATCGTTTGTAAAATATGATTAATGACATTTCAAGTACAATTGAATCTATCGCTATGTGCTGAACAATGTTTTACCTGAAGTATACTATTCGCCTATACGTTTGGACATGATATTCACAATTTAATTGAACTCGAAATATCTGACCATTATTCAGTATAAACCTCCAATTATGTATTTTGTGTGTATTAGAAAAAAGAATTTTTGTAAGTCGACCATGGATTGTGAATGGTCTGTGTAATAGGTTTGTGCTTACTATGTTTGATATATTTCTTTTCTCTTGTATATATTTTAGAATTTCCTTTCATATATAAATTTAGTGAGTGTTGTTGAAAATAATTTGGCTTGCATTTATCGTCAAGCAATTATTTGTGAGCTAAGTTTAGCTCTATCAACCGAATAGCATTATGTTAATTGGGGTGACATGATATACATTGGAAAAAGTATCTCTGTTAATAGAGTGAGTTTTGAAACTCGTCTTTTTACAATAAACATGAAGCTATTAAGCAATCAGTTACGTCACGTATTG